CATATATAATAATAATAATATATATATATATATATATATATATATATATATACTTATATTAATACATATATTTATTTATAATCATATATAACTCATTTTATATGTATTTATAATTATACACTTACATTATTGTACCTATGTATTTACAATTATACATTATTATACTTATAGCTATATTTATATCATTACTTCATATAAAATTCATATATAGTTATATATATAAAATTATATCTTGAAATATAAAATAATACGTAAAATATTTATATCATATAACATACAATATACAATATATCGTAATACATAAGAATTTGTGTGTATCATGAATGTTTTATTGATCTATTGATTCCTCCATATTAACATATAATTAATATTTATGACTGATTATGACTGATACATTATCATTAACATATAACTATATTTTTTTCGTTATCATTTACACTCATTTTAATAATGATTTTCTATTTTTCTCGAAAGTGTTAATCTATGAACTGCATCGTACGACTTATTTCCTCATGAATTTCGCTTGATGTATTTCTTGTGCATTCGTACTATGTAATTCACTATCAATGTCAATAATGCAACTAATTTTGCAAATTACATTCACGTATCTAGTAATAATCGTGTATTTATTACAATTAGACGAGAAAATGACTAGTGACTTTTCGTTAAGCTTTGTGTCTATGATGCTAGAAATCGGAGATACAGAAAGAGAATTGAATCAATTGCATTGATCAATTGGTTGAATTATTCAAATACAATTGATTCCTGGCAAAAATAAAAAGTAGAGCGTAAATTGAATATAAGAGAAGAGTAACAGAAGCGTAAGCAAACGTTCTGAGGAGCATAGTTTAAAATAACAAAACGTAAAAAGCATAAGCAGAAGTATAAGCATTTAAAGAAGTATAAAAAAAGTGTTTTAATGCTTTTTCTCCATTGTTCCAATTTACGCTCCAATTTTTTTTTAATTTTTATTTTTTTTATTTCTATTTTTATTTTATTTTTATTTTTATTTTTATTTTTATTTGTGCCAGGGATCAATATTTTCTCCGTCTGAGATCTCAGATTGATTTCTGTTATCGTGGATATAATATTTTATTGACATAGAGTGATGATTTCTTATCTCATACATATTTATTATCTCATACATTATCATACGACGCTTCACAAGACACTTGTAATCATCGTTCGCGTTCAAGATGCATATTTTTTTTTTAGATAATAATGACCGTGCCAAGTAGCAGACAATTCATACACGTTGCGTATAATTGAAAGTGGCAACTCGATTCGAGAATCGCAATCGAATTCAGAATTTCGAGAATCGAAGTATCGAGTATCGAGTATCATAATGGCTGAAGCGGCGAGCCAATCGCCGAGCCCGTGCCTCGTCAGTCAAGTTTCTCAATCGCAAAAGCCTATCTGTATGAAGATAGCCTCCCAACATTGAAAAACATAAAGTTTCTATAGCTCATTCGATTGCTCATCATTTGCACATGTATGCACATTTCGAATTTTCGTTTGCACACTTCTAGTAAAAAAGTTATTAACAAAACAAATTTCGGGGGGCCATCTTCGCACTAGCTCCCCAACTATGAGTAAATTAAATAAAAAA